TCCTGATAGCTTTTACCATGAACAGCTGTAGAATTTAGTCCAATACTTTTCTCCAACTAGTGACAGGATCATATGGCTTTTTCTTTTCCTCTGTTTAAATGATGACTTTTGGGGGTGGATCTTCCAATGCTGAACCAACACTGCCATCCCTTTAACAAATCCACTTTCTTCATCCTGCCAGATCTGACTTCCAATAGTTTGTTTTGTTAAACAAATTTCTATCTATGTTCATACATTTTTCTTCTATTATCTTTATCCAGTTTTAGGATTAGCACAATATTGAGTTCCTAAAATGAGGGGAGAAGTGTTCCTTCTTTTTTCTGCTTTAATTGTTTGATACAATTTATCAGTTAAAGTGTTTATGAGCGTGTTGTTGTCATATAGGTAGGTTTTCAAGCTAGGAATATACTTTCTTTAATAGGTTCTATTCAAATTTCATATTTCCCCCAGAGTTAGTTTCATTAATTTGTCTTCCAAGGTACTTCTTAGAAGTTGTCAAATTTATTTCAAAAAAGATTTTTGTAATATGCTTTCTATATCCTTTTAAATTCTGTAAAATCTGTGGTAATGTCTCCTAGATCATAATATTGTAATTTAAAAAATGTATAACTGATATTGCGTAACAGGAAGAAAAGGTGTAAAAGAGCAGGGGAATTGGGAGGGGTAGGGGAAGGGAATAAAGGGAAAGGAAAAAATATGAGAAGAGGAAAAAAAATGGAAACAAGGTCTTTGCAAATAGGGAAGGGTGGAGGGGGTGAAGGGAGGGCAAGGGATGGGGAAAAAAAATAAGAACCAAGAGACTCATGTAAAAGTACAAGATCTCAATGATGAATGTAACTGTATTTTATACCTAAAATGTACCAATAAACTTAATGGGGAAAAAATTGTCCTTCTTATATTTAAAGACAAATGAACCTGACTCAACAAATAGTTGTGAAAATCACACATTGGGAAAGTGCCACTTATTCTGTGGGACAATGCACTAGCCTAAAGAAAATAATAACTCTCCAAGTCATTCACTTAAAAGTATGCATATACACACATATATATGAAAAATACTTATTCTTACACATAGATATGCAACACTTAAATGAAATATTCCAATCATTCTTGAGAACAGAAGACCTGGGACCTATTTGCTTATTTTAAAGTGCAGTTTGATTAATATGTATTTATTTATTGGGACAGTTTTGGTTTCTTTCAGGAAAAGGTAAAGATACATCATTATTATATGTCCTTAGAAAATGACAAAACTTATATAAAACAAACCAATATGATTTTGGCATTATGTGTACTCTAAAACTAATTCTCATATTATCTTATATATAGTATTTATTTTATTTACTGACATAAATTTATGCCCTGGGTAATGGATTTTCTAATGGAGAGTAATAAATAATATTCCTTTATATTTTGCTAATTAATTCCCAATTCATAACCTCTAAATTACTAAGATTTATGAGCAATAATATAGTTGTTAAAGTAATGTCATTGCAATGACTTGTTAATATAGACAAAGTTTTTTATATACGAATATCAAGTCACACGTGTCTGATGCCTTAAATTTTTTCTTAAATCATCCTTTTGTTTTCTGTTTAATAAAATTCCTTATATTAGATAACTATATTTTGTGTATCTGTGTACATCTAACTCTCTGCTATCTATATTTATCTGTATGTATAGAGATAAATATTCATTACTTAGTACTGGATTAGTCAGCTCTCTTATATGCCATTTCAAACTTGTAGGGTTATTCATTATCAGCTCCATTTCCAAATTGCCAACAAATAGTAAAATTCATGTCAACTTGTCAAACATAAAATATCTTGGTTTTTTTTTTTTTTTTTTTTTGGCACTGGGGATCGAACTCGGGACCTTGTGCTTGCAAGGCAGGCGCCAGAACCAATGAGCTAAATCCTTGGCCCCAAACATAAAATATCTTGTTTTGCATACTAATTTTTGCTTATAAACCTGGAGGCTTGTTAGAACACAACTGTTTAGTAGTAAGTACCACATTCTGTCCACCTTTGAATGTTCAGATCCTAATGATGATTGACAGATGGTGGGTGTTCAACAACTATTTGTAGCATGAGTTAGTGGACAATGAGTTTTCTTAATGAACAGCAATTACTACTAATCATTCATCAAATGTATGTTTCATCTTTTTTTTTAATCATATTACTCTTAAAAAGATTTACAACATTTTTGGAGTACTTCAGTCCTTGCAGCTGAAACATTGTAAAAGAGAACTGATAAGCATTGTTAGAAATCAGTTAGTTGGGTCTATTTATTAATTAAACAATCACTGTGCTTTAAGAGAAAAGGTGGTGTTCAGTCCAACTAATGGCATGAAAAAAAGGAAGGGAGTCATTTCCTTCTCTAAGAAATTAGCGGAGTTGACATAGTATTATGATGTTTTATGATTGTGGTTCTCTGCCTCCAGTGCCTTATAAATATTTATTACCTTAGAGTAGAGAGAGATAAACTGGAGACTTACCTAAGGAGAAGGCCCCAAACACATCTAAAACCTCATGGGACCATAAGAGAAAATTTAACTGAGAAGCAAGCTGGTGTTTCTCTTTGTCCTACAGAGGGCAGCCCGAGGAGCGACTGCATCTTGTGATGGGCTACTACTGGGGAGTGAGTAGATACCTAGGGAAGTATTAGCAAAAATCAAAATTCTATAATAAGGTATGTAGAAAATTACAGTTTTCATTAGTTTGTATGTGGAAGAAATGTTTGAGTAAGTTCAATGTTATAGCTTCTAGGAATTTAAACAATTAGGTTAGGTAACTATATCCATAAGGTTATTTGTTTGGAACATCATTCTAAAAAAATTACTTTCAGTGTATGTCAGCCTGTTTAACAGTGAAGTATGAGTTCAAAAAAAACATATGGAGGAGAAACCGGGAGGCAGTGAGAGAATGTGAAATAATTTTGGAAACTGTATGATGCGTAGATGTCATAGGAAATGGTGAGGACACTGATGAAATAACAAGGGGCAGAAGATCAAAGGTCTTGGTGTGCTAAACCAGGGAATTTGTGCTTTATCCATTTTTTTTGGTAAGTATGCATTTATTTACATTTACTTCCTTTAGATAAATGCATAACTGCTCAAAATTATTTAAAAGAACCTATGTAGAGGTACAAGAGCACACTATACAAATCTATTTTTACCTTCATTTTGAGGAAACACTGATCTTGGCAAAAATCTGGCATTAGTTTTTAAATAAACTATTGCTAGTAAGAAGGCATAATTTAAAATTGTCTGTGTCCTGACTTGCTTTTTAAAATAAAATTTAAAAGCATTTGTTTTGAGATTCATCTATCACTGCATAAGTGCACAATCATAAAAATATGGGCCCTAATAGCAGTTGAGTTAAAGTTAAAATGCCTCGAGAGCCCCATTCTACTTTAAACTGGACCACTCACTGATCATGATTTTTAGAAACTGACAAATTCAGACCATTTAATGTTAAGTAATTGACACACACTTGCATAATACAGCACTCTTCCACTGGGTTGAGGTCACATTATAGTTTTAAAAATATAAATATATTCAAATTTTAAGTCTATTTCTATAGTAACTCAAGGTGTTTCAATATACTTCTAAAACAGAAATGGGTGAAATAAACTCGGTGTAAAATATAGTTGCCAGACTTTACTATTAGCGTCAAACCCAACTGTTTATTACAAATAACTATACTGATGCATCGGCTTGATTGATTCCAGTAATTTCATTTTACAAGTGTGAATCATATCTTATACATACAGCAAATATATATTTACTTGAAAATCCCCCAAATAAGAAAAGTTTTGAAGGTTAATCAATTGCTTCCAAAATAAAAGATCTGCTTCTGGTCCTCTTCCACACCCTTAAAGTTGGAATTTGACAAAAGTCCATGGATACAATTTGCAAACATTGACAAACTTTTAAATTAAAACCATTTTTTGGGGGGGAGGTGGAAGGAAGTACCTTTAAAACCTGTTGTACAAAATTCCAGCTGCCTTTTTAGTAAAGTATGTTCCTTAGTTTAAAATTATAAAATTAAGGTGCAAGAGTTTAACAAAAATGAACTAAAGAGCTTTATTGACATCACAGTACATTCAAGAATAAGTTTAAGAACATTACAGCTGAAAGAGAATGGCATGTTTATAGTCTTATTATGTACTATTTTTGAATAAAATGTAATACAAAAGAAATCCTATTAAGTAACTTGGAGTAGCATTTGGAAAAAGTACACCTATTTACAGATTAAAAAAAAAAAAAGATTCTGGTTTCACCTACACAGCCACAATGTGCCTCTATAATGAGACAAGCCCTTAAAACTCATGGTATTTTTTAAAACACCATGGCATTCTTGCCACATCATTCCTCAGCTCTTATGATGGGGAGGAGTTGTTGATCTTGATCAGGACTTTAACTTGTGTTTGCGGCTTGCCTTCTTACTAGACCTTTGAGATTTCTTCAAGGATCACAATTGACTATGTTTAGGCCTCTTAGCCTTCTTTTCTTTGCTACTTCCTGGAGATTCAGAACTGCTCCTTCCACTAGAATCAGAGCCTGAATGCTTTTTACTATCTTTGCTAGTACATTTCTTACTATCTTGTCTAGAATCATGTCTTATGATGTTAACAGATATAGAACCAGTCCTTGAGAATGTTCTTTCACTTTCTCTTTTCCTCTTCAATTTATCATCTTGACTACTGAATATAAAATCTTTTTCTTCCCTTTTTTGTTTCTCTTTTGTTTTATAGTGTTCATGCTCCCTTTCTTTGTCTTTCTTTTTCCTATCTTTATCTATACTTTGACTCTTCTCCATTTTCCTCTCTTGTTCCTTAGCCTCACCTTTATGCTCATGACTGTTCCCACTAAGATTTTCATGTTGACCCTCACTTTTACACCTACCTCAACTCCTACTGTGACTGGAATGATTGGTTCATGTATCCCTTGAGCGGCTTCTACTTCTAGGTCTCTCTCGAGAAGAACTCCGATTTTGTCATCTTTCTCTTTCAATGCTATTTCTATTAGATCTCCTCCCGTCTCTAATCTTTACCCTAGCCCTACTGCTCTCTATTTTAATTCTGTGAGAGTAGCTTCTACTTCGGCTATGCCTAGCTTTAATTGTTGGAGATTTACTCCTACTACGTTTCTTTTTTCTTTTAGAAGACTGAGAAGTGACCATTACCTGAGCTAGAACTGTAAGAATAAATGGAGACAGTACTGCTAGTACTACTAGTTCTGCGATTGCTACTGTAACTACTACTAGAACTTCCTGATCTACTCCTTCCTTGTTTCTCTTTTTCTTTATGGTCTTTTTTGGTTCTGAAATGGATGTCGTTTCATTTGGAGTTCTTTTCTTTTCATTAACCACATCACCATCTGCTTCTCTTGCTTCTAGAAGTGATAAGCTATTTTGCTCTTTGTGGATAAATTCATTCTTCTCTTTTGTAACCCTTTCTGATTGTTGCTTTTCTTCTTCCATCTCTTTATCGTGTAGTAGCTGCTGTTCTTTTTCTTTTCTCCAAAAAGCTTCCTGTTTTTGCTGGATTTGGTGCCGTAATTCTTCATCATCAGTCATCTCAGGTGACTCAGAGCCTCTGTCACTCCACTCATATTCACTGTCTCCTGATCCATAACCACCCAGTCCACTGAGTTCAGTGAGGGAAGCCAGTGCACTGGACTGTGCCAGTTGTTTTGCAGGAGATTTTGTTGCTTTCTGATCTGTGTCTTTGGCTGTATAATAAATTTCTTCATCTGTGACATTCAGAAGAATTTCAGTCAGAAGCATTTTTGTCAGCAACATCATTTGATATTCTTTTTCCTCTTCAGTCATCTCTGGTTCACTCTGCTCTTCCTGAGGAACTGGAGATGGACTTCTGGTGACTTTTCTGCTGCTCGCAGCCTCAAAGTTTTCGGGATCTTCATCCTCTTCATCACTGTGAAATGTACTTCTCTGAGGTAAATGAGGGCCATCACCTCCCTCAGTATCTTCTCTGGCCTTCTTTTCCTTTTTGGACAATTGTGAATGTTGTTGGTCCATCCTTTCTTGCTCTAATTTCTTTTGCTTTTCACATTCCACTTTTTCAAGACCTTCACAAATCCAAGCTGGAAGAGTCCTGTGTTTTACTGCATCAATTTGAGGAGGCTCCTGCTTCACAGGAAGGGCAATAGGTGACTGCTGCCGATCCCTGAATGACAGTGGCCTTTCTCTTCAATTCTGGGGAGGCTCTGGAGGTCCTTGAGGTCCTGGTTGCCAATAAGGAGGATGAAATCCACCTTGCAGTGGACCAAAAGCAGCCCCATGTTGATAACAAACTGATTCACTGGCTTCACTGCAAAAATTATCGGGTGGTTCTCCAAAGTTATGATTGTTCTGGTTAAATATTTGTCAAGGGCAAATTCCCCACTGTCCTGACTGTTGCTGTCTTCAGAAGGAAGAACAATATCTACAGGGCCTGGTGTTGGTGGCATCCATGGCTGATCTGGAGGGAGGTGTGGGGGTTGCTGATGCATTCCCCCTTCTGGTTGCCACATTCTGTTAAAGTTTGAATCTCCTTGAAAATTCCCATGATTGTTAGGCCCACATTCCATTGTAGACATATCTTGTCCATTTGGCATCATTCCTAGTGGTTGTTCTACTATTCTTTGCTGTCCTGAAGCTTCTCTCTGGGCAATCCAAGCTTGACCCAATGCAGCCCAGTCAATCTGGCTTGGATCCTGCTGGTGCTGGAATGACTGCACCCATTGTTGTTGGTTCAAGAGCCACTGCTGCCAAGGCTGTCCTCTTGATCCTACATCTTTTCTTTAAAAATATATTGATTTTCTATCTCAGAGGCTCACCTTCTGTTTAAAACTTAGGTTGATTCAGACTACAGCTTGAAAGCATAACAGCAAGAAGAGTTATGGCCTATCCTCGTTCGGGAATGCTGCTGTCACCACCGTTCTTGCAATAAGTCTCCAAGCCTTTCAATGCTTCTACTTCTATGAACAAGACAAGATGGCACTGCTTTATCCATTATTAAAGAATAATGACTAGTTAAGATTACATTTTGAAGGGTCACACTGACATCTCTACAGAGTATGAATCAATGGGGCTTCACTAAAATGGAGAGATCAATAATAGTATATTTCGGTATGTTAGAAAAGATTGAAAATGTATTTATTTGAATGTAGAAAGTAGGATATATCAGTCTTGAGTATGAGTGGGAGAAAGGAGAGTCTAGAGGATTATTGGAATCAGAGAAATTGTGGGAGCAACTGAAATAATGAATGATGATGACATTAAAGTGAAGAAGAAAGGAAGACACACTGGGGGAGAGTATGACCAATACATATTTTGTTAAAATTGAATGATTTGCAACATCTAAGTGGAGTAAACATCAGGAGTAAATGAGTATATTAGAGATCAGGAGAGATGTATGGTCTAGAGATGTGGGTGTCATTTTTACTAACAATGTAATATGCATGGGTGCCAGCGTAACATGAGGTAAATGTTGACATGGGTTTTATTTACATATATGTGATAGGTGAAGATGGTAACTGAGATGAGGATCAGGAATGCAACCTTAAGTAATTATACATTTTAAGAACTAAGCGTAATGAGGGAGCTCCTGAAATGATCTGAAACTGAATAGTGAAAGAAAAAGCAAAAGAGAACAGATGCATAAAAGCCAAAGGAAAGGTAAATTCTAAGGAGTTCAAAATCATCCATGTCATGTGTTGGAAATAGGCCATGTAAAACAAGGACAGAAAAGGGAAAATTGCATTTAAAAATTGTACATCAATTTAACAATTGCACGAGACATTTTAATGGAATAATTAGAATTGGAACCAGTTGAGGAACTGGAGGACATATGGGTAGATTATCCATTTAAAAAGTTTTGGAAGTAGAAAGAGAAGGAAGTTGAGAGAGCAGGACATGTCACCGAAGGTATCCATGTTTTTTATTGTATCAAAAAGCCCATGTTTGGATACAGTGATGAAAATATTTATCAGAAAGGAATCCTATGAAGGTAGAAGATAAAGGCATTGATGATACCAATGAGATGGAAGGAATGAGACCCAAGATACAGGTGGTGTTTCTCTAGCTTTGGATAAGAGTGAAGATTAATGGATAAGAAAATAAAGGAGTGTGGAAAAGAGTAAGAGGCAAAAGGTCACGATGGAACAGATGCAAATTCTAGAATCCAAACTCAAAGTATTGTGAACAAACAAGGGAATTTATTGACTCATAATTTGGGATCCACAGAATTAGGTCCAGTAGAACAAAGTCATGACAGCTATGAAATTTAGGACCCTCCTGGTACTTGCTTAATTCTGTACACAGGCTTCCTTCGTAAAATGATATTGGTAGTCAGTGAGAGGTCTGAATCCCACTGTCTAGCTTGACCTTAAAGGGAAAGACACAGTGGTGGTATATCAATCTAAAGAAGTTCTCTGTATGCCCTTTATTCTATCATGTGCCTGCGCCATATTACAAAGACAAGAGTAGGGAGCCCTTGTAACAGCCCAACCAAGAGTATATAGGTAAAGGAAGGTAAAACTTGCATGGGATAATGAAAGATGATTCACAACAAAGGAAAATTTGATATAATTTGATAGAGGGCTCAAGTTTGAAGAAGAAAGATCATGACATTTATTTTCTATTTTTATTATTCTTGTCTGTAGAAATTAGAAAGAAAAGTTGGTAAAGTGAAAAGGATTAGTGCTCACTTGGGGATTGCAGATTGTAATAATCCCTAGTTGTCACTGAGGAGAATTGCAAAGGAAGTTTACTGGGTATGTAGAGATAGGGAAGTGGTAGGATGTTTATTATGTGACAATGAAAAAGACAGTAGATTTTGTTCAGGGGTAGCAGAGTATATTCTAGTGCTGTCATATATTGTTCAACTGAGGTTAGGCAACTCACCTTCTCTGACCCTGATTTTTTTCTTTTTTCTTTTGAACAAATGAAATGTGCAAGCATATGAATTTTAGTGCTGTCCAGAAATTAGGTGTTGTATTATATTTATATTCAGAGTAATATGAATGAGAGTAAAGTGATAAGACAAATGCATGATTTGATTTTTAAAAAAGAAATGAAAATGTCTCTATTTGAAATTAATATGTAACTTTCACTGAACAGAAAAGAAGATAAACCAAAGATCATTTTCCTTTCTTCAATTTTAAAATACATTGAGAAGCCTGTTATATTTGGTGATGTTCTGCACATATACAGTCAGGTTTTTATAAACCAGTAGAGACTATCAGTGGAGGAATAAGTCCAAGATGTTACATATCAAGTCTAGATAGATTTATAGCAGTTAGTTTCTGGATCTCATTACATAATTACCCACTCAATGACATCAACAGGATTTAGTTTGATTAAATTGGAGTAAATGTAGTACAGTTTCTAATTCAGCATGAGAAATCTCTATATAATTTGGGTAGGTGATAGTTCTTGCTTTTTAATTATTGCACTTAGTCACTAATCTAAGTCTCTAAGCTCTTTGGGTAAATGTAACTTGAATTTAGTAACTAGGGGATTTTGAAATTGCTTAGACTGCAGCCAAACTCTAGCCTTCTTAGTTCATTTGTTCTTCCAGAAGGAAGTAAAATAAGTTCAATTGAGTATTAAGTAATTACTGCTTTATCCACACAGTGCTTTCATAAGCTTGTGCATGTTTTTGTGTAAACAATCTTTTAAATTTCATTTATTGTGTACAGTGGATCCTTGGCTTATGAATTCAATTCATTCATGAGGGCTGATTGCAACTCAAGGTGGTCAGTTGAAGGCTCAGGCTCCTCTACAGAGACTTCAGTCTCTCTCCTGTAAATAGGCAGATCTCAGTGTCCTTAGAGAGACACTGGCCCAGGATTTCTCAACTCCATACAGAAAAGGATGTTGTAATGTTCTTTCTAGAACTCTTTAAGAGTTAAATCTGTATGTGAGACCATCTGGAAGCATAAGTAGCCAGCATTCAGGTTGTAACTCAAGATTTTGGTCATAAGTTAAAACTAAAATTCTGGTCATAACACAAATTGTTCATATGTCAGGCTGGTCATAACTCAAGGGTCCACTGTATTAGGCACTCATCTAACACTTCTCATACATTAATTCATTTAATCTTTTCAAACCTGCTTTAAGATGCATAATTTTTTATTATTTAGCTAGTTTTAATATTCTGATTACTCAGATGAGGAAAACAAGTGTCAGAAAGCTGGCATTCAAATCAAGGCAGTCTGGATTCAGAAACTATGCTTTCAATGATATAATAATTATGTATGAATGTATGGCATTTTATAAAGATTATATACATAGGATTTCACTTTTCCAGAATTGGTTAATTTTGATAGTGATTCATTGCAACTCAGGAAATATTTATAGTGGACTAGCTACTATTTTAAAATAACATTTATTGTTTGTCTGACTATTAATATAAATTATCATGGGAAAGGTTGAAAGGAAGCTAAAAGCCCCTGAAAAGCTACAATGAACTGATAATAAATTAGACTTTCTAGACTTTCTTCCACCCTTCTTGTTAAGGTACTTTATTAACTGTGTATATCTGTGTACCAGGGCCTTCATAATAAACTACTTACCTAGACATTTTTCATCTTTAATTTTGAATCAGGGTTGCACAAAGTTGCAAGGTTACAATGCCTGAACTCAAACTTGCCATCCTCCTGTCTCAGCCTCCCAGAGTGCTGGGATTGCAGGCATGCACCATCAGACCTGAATTAATTTGTTTTCTTACAAAAGTTGGATCAAATTTTCAAGTTTTGTTTTTTCACTTAACATTTGATAAAGACCATATTCTATGTAACCTTCAGATATACCCTTATTCATCAAATAAAGTTGATATTGGATACACTATTTTCATTTGGTGCATCATAATATGTTAAATAAGTGTATCCCTATTTTTCCATGTTTTTACATAACATGTTGTACACATTATTCTATTGTTATTGTCATTCTATTGATTTTTAAGACTCTGAAAGCTACTCTCAAATTGCTCTCCAGGAATATTGTTATGTCTGTGTGCTTTCTCACCAGTAAAGTGTGAGAGTATCTATCTCATCACAAAGTAATTAGCATGAATATTTTCATTTAAATAATGTTGACACTTTGATAAGTGACAAAATTACATTTCATTGGTGCATTAAGTTTCATTTCTTTGACATTAATAGATGAAACACTTGTATGTTTGTTGGTAATTTGAATTTTTTGACTTGCTGAGATCTTTTATTATTTCATCTTATTAATTTACAGATAAATAATTTATTTTTCCAATTCCTCTGCATTCTCCCTAAATTGTTATTCAGCTTCCCATTTTGTTTATGGTGATATTTGACTGTGTTCTACTTGTATATAATCAATCAAATGGCTTTTTGTTATATTTTATTTTAATGTAATATGGAAATGGTTTTTTCACTCTAAGATTATATTAACATCTATATATTTCAAGTGCATTTATAGATTTGTTTTCTATTATTTAAAAAAATATTTTTGGTACTGGGGATCTAACTCAGGACCTAGCATTTGCAAAGAAGGCATGGTACCACTGAGCTAAATCCCCAGCACTCTTTTCTGTTATTGAACTTTAATACACATGAATTTTTCTCTTGGTAGATTTTTGTTTTATGAATCACTGTAAAGTTAACTAACTTGAAAATGATCCCTGCCCCTGTAGTTTATTTGTAGTTTTGTTATAGAGGTTAGCATTGCAGATCATAAAAATTAGTTTTAATTATTTTTCCCCTTAAAGAACTTTATTTTTAATTATAAAATTATCTCATTTAATTGTAGATATTAGGGGTGTT